TCCCGGGTTGTGCTCATCATGTCTCCAAGAAAGCTTCTTGTTCTCTACTTCTTATGGATGGTTCTGTCCATGGCGAAATCTGAGAATGTGGACTTCACCTTCGACTCCTTCACGATCCGGAACCTCACCTTCCTCGGCGACTCCCATCTCCGAAACGGCGTCGTCGGACTCACCCGAGAGCTCGGCGTCCCTTCCTCGAGCTCCGGCACCGTCATCTACAACACTCCGCTCCGTTTCCACGATCCTGACTCCAACACCACGGCGTCCTTCTCCACCCGCTTCTCCTTCTCCGTCCAAAACCTCAACCCCACCTCCTCCGGCGACGGCCTCGCCTTCTTCCTCTCGCCCGATAACCAAACCCTAGGTAGCCCCGGCGGGTATCTGGGCCTTGTTAATTCCTCGCAGCCGATGAAGAATCGATTCGTCGCGGTCGAATTCGACACGAGGATGGATGCCCATTTCGACGATCCTAGTGACAATCATGTGGGTTTGGATGTCGATAGCTTGAATTCCATCGCGACCGTCTCGTCGGAATTCGATCTGAAAAGCGGGAAATGGTTCACCGCCTGGATCGATTACAAGAACGATTTGCGTGTTTTGAACGTTTTCTTGGATTACTCGGACACCGAGAAGCCAGAGAAGCCTCTGTTGTCTGTGAACATCGATCTTTCTCCTTTCCTGAAGGGTGAGATGTACGTAGGGTTCTCCGGCTCAACGGAAGGAAGCACCGAAGTCCACTTGATCGAGAGTTGGAACTTTCGGACATCTGGGTTTGTCCCATTGAGATCGAAATCCCATCCTCATAACGTTTCAGACAGCTCTGTGATCCCGGAGATACCCATATCTGGTTCCACCGGCAAGCACCATCGAAATCTCGGCATTGCATTTGGTATCTCCGGTCCGATTTTCTTCTTTCTGGCACTTTCTGTTTTCGGCTACGTATCCTTGAAGAAATGGAAGGGCGTGAAAGCAGAGAAGGAGATGAAAACAGATCTAATAGCCGGACCAAGAGAGTTTAGCTACAGAGAACTGTATGGAGCGACAAAAGGGTTTCACTCGAGCCGGGTCATCGGCCGAGGAGCATTCGGGAATGTGTATAGGGCCGTGTTCGTTTCCCTGGGCACGACTTCCGCCGTGAAGAGATCCAGACACTCCCACGAGGGCAAGACCGAGTTTCTCTCTGAGTTATCGATCATAGCTTGCTTGCGTCACAAGAATCTGGTTCAGCTTCAGGGATGGTGTTCTCAAAAGGGCGAACTCCTCCTCGTATACGAGTTCATGCCGAACGGAAGCCTTGACAAGATTCTGTACCAGGAATCCGAAACTGGAGCTGTCTGTCTTAACTGGTCACACAGGCTGAACATAGCCACTGGGTTGGCTTCTGCTCTGTCGTATCTCCACCATGAATGCGAGCAGCAAGTGATCCACCGGGACATAAAGACGAGCAACATCATGCTCGATGCCAACTTCAACGCCAGGCTCGGAGATTTCGGACTGGCCAGGCTGACGGAACACGACAAGAGCCCTGTCTCCACCCTCACGGCAGGAACGATGGGTTACCTCGCGCCAGAGTATCTCCAGTACGGAACCGCGACCGAGAAAACAGACGTATTCAGCTACGGGGTGGTGATTCTGGAAGTGGCGTGCGGGAGGAGGCCGATCGATAAGGAACCGAGCGGGCAGAAGACGGTGAATTTGGTGGATTGGGTCTGGAAACTGCATGGCGAGGGAAGGATCGTCGAGGCAGCGGATAAGAGGCTGAAGGGTGCGTATGGAGAGGAAGATATGAGGAAGCTATTGCTCGTAGGGTTGAGATGCGCTCATCCTGATAGTAACGAGAGGCCATCGATGAGTCGTGTGTTGCAGATTCTTAACAAGGAGGTCGAGCCTTTGCCGGTCCAGAGGATGAAACCGACATTGTCATTCACCTGCGGGTTGAGCCTTGAGGACATTGTTTCAGAGGAAGAAGAAGAAGAAGAAGGAGATGACAGTACTGTGTAACTGTATAACAGCGTGTATCTTCTTGATTCTTTTGTGTTTTTGTTGGTTGTTTGATTCGTTTCATTCGTTTTGTAACACTCTGATTTTTTTTTAGTTCAATGCTGTCAAATTGAACTTGTTAGGGTGTCTGATTCACGAAAGCTTTCCGATGATTCAGGAAAGAAAAACCTTGTCTGAATGGCTTTTGATGCAGAACGAAAGTGATTCATCAGACAAACAAAAAACCCAGTTCAGTGTCTCCTTTGAGAGTGAAGAACTGAGAAAATGGAAACTGAAAACGAAACATTACCGATTACACTGATGTTTCTGTGAATCCTCGTAGGTTATAACCCAGAAAGCTCTGTTTTTTTTTTGCTCGTGATGAATCTGAGAGGAAAGCACGCACGAGCAGCGTAGATAGATGATGACAGAAGCAAAGAGAGCACACTCCCGACAAGGGTAAAACAGTCCTTTTGCCAATCCCGGGTTGTGCTCTCTTTCTTCTGTCAGCATTTTTCTTCCTCTTCCCCCGGCGGAGAGGAGAGGAAGACGAAGAAGGTGGAACTGTGGCGTGCGGCTTAAGTAAGAGGGAGAGTGGTGGGGAGAGTTTATATAGAGAAGGGCGACTGGCTGTTCCCGGTGACAGGTGGAGAGAAACCGGGTGTTACCGGTGATGAAAGTGAAAGAGACACGAAGATGAGATTGGTACGTGGTCCCGAGATCACACTATCGGACTGGAAGTTTCTACAGAATTAGAGATTCTCCCGTCAAACTCTTTCGCTTTTTAATTGCTTCTTCCAAATTCCTTAGCTTTCTCATTTGTCATAACTATTTATTATTATTATTATTATTATTATTATTATTATTATATTGTTTCCTATTTTTGGAAAATCGTAATCGTATGAACAAAGTGCAATTTTAGGGAAAAGACTTGATCAGACTTGTTGGAGTGAGACATTGTCACACATTTATGATGCATAAATTCCACACCCCCCATCACTATTTCCCGTGCATTATTATTGATGAGGTCATAGATTCCTGATTTCATTAGATTTTGAATTTTCTAAACAAATTAATGATTTTTTAATCCCTTTTTTTATGGTTATTTAAATGTACTTAAACATACAAATTAAAACAAATTTTGTTTCTTATTTTCAAATATATATATATTAGATTGGATGAAAGTGATTTGGAGAGGATGAAAAATGATGCAAAAGAACATAAATAGGAAGATTTCATGTACCTGACGAAGCCACGTGACTGAGTGCGTAGAAGAAGAAGTAATTCACGTGACCGACGACACTGTCCCATCCCCACGCGCGTGGTAGCGACAACCCCACAACTTGTTGCTTTCACCTTTTTCATATATTATTTTTGTGGATATGTCATCTATACTAGGCTAAATCACAGCCGTTCATCACACGATCTGTACCGTCGAGAATGCCACGTGGCACATTCATTGAAACGGCCTCATTATTTTGGGCTTATATCAAAGGCCCATTTGAGATGAGTACGGGCCGCCTGAAACCTGGGCCCAAAATGTATTAACCGACAGGAGGAAGCCATGCCCGGGGTTCTCGAGCTTAATTTCTTCCAGAAGCAGGACAATAGCTCATATTCGTCTCATTTCTTCGAATTTCAGATGTGTTTCTTACATGGGTTCCTTTTGAAATTCCAGAAAACAGTCGAAACTATGCGATTCTACTGTTCGCGAAGCGTTTTGGGGTCTGGGTCTGTTTATTCCACCAAGCATAGAATCTCTGGACTGTATTTGTTTTCCCGGGAAAATTCGATTCATTTCCCAGGAAAATGGGTGTGGTAGTGAAGCCATTGAAGCTCTGGTGGAGGAGGGAGAAAACCCCTATCGAGATCCTTTGCTGGGAATCTCTGTGTCGGAGGAGACACGAGAACTGGCCTGTTGGGGTTGTGTCTGATCCATGGACTCATAGTTTCCAAGTTCGTGGGGAGACAGAATCTAACATTTCTTCAGTTTCACAACTGGTTTTGTTCGATCTTTCAGTCTCCACTCGTGAGCCTCTCTCTCATATATATATATATATATATATGTATGCATGCTAATGTTGACGTTAACAAGCAGGTGTGATGTCTATTTATCCATTTAATTGAAGATTAATTAAGATATAGCTGTATAATTAATTATCACAAAATACAGAAAAAAATGTCGCACGGTTTGAACAGCTACAGCACGATAAAACAGCGCCAGCGAGTTGCTGGCTTTGCGTCCGTCTCACCCAACATATGCCCTCCACTCATTCCGTTTGCCAGCTCATCTTTCCGTTTAGTTCGTAGAGCGGCCTGAGCCACGTCACTGCTGATGTTGCACTAACGCCGTTATATATACCGTCCCGGAGACCGCACCGAAGAGAGAGGAAAAGAACAGGAGAAATTCTCTCCATCTTTTTTTAAGCGCAGTTTCTCTCTCCCTCTCTCTGAGCGAAGAGATTTTCTCTCACTTTCCCTCGTTTTCTCGGCGGTTTTTAATCCTTTCCCGTCGTTTCCTATCCTCTGAAAAGTCTTCCTCCCGCAGACGCCATGTCGGTATGTCGAATCTCTACTGGCTCTGGTGTGTTATTGAGCTGCTTTTTTCATCTTCGAATTTAACTTACTCGTCTGTGAAATTAGTACTGTTTTGGTATCTGGACGCTGTGTTGATTATGATCGGATTGTTTACTGCGATCGATTTTGTCGCGGTCTTCGATATACGAGACGAAGATAAAATAATTATCGGATATATACTTTGATCATGATGAGCTCCTATCTCTTGCTATTTGTTTTTTTTTTCACTTTGAGAATCCGATCTTTCATTTTTTTTTTTCCTGATCCTGCTCGATGAGCTGTACCAGGGTGGGTATGGTTGCTGCAGTTACGGGTCCACAATGGAGGAGTTCTCTCGGTTTTGCTGTGAGTTTAGGGTCCCGATTTAGTTAGATTTACGAGGAATCGAGGATAGAATTGAAGTCGGATCATATCTAAAAAATGGAGAATACAAAGTATGGCCTCAGCTTTGTATCCTAACTTGGTTGCGTCGAATTCAATCGAGATCGAAGTGACATTATTTTGTTGGAAATGGGGAAATTGTTGTTTGTTTGCTGATGTTTGAACATGGATATGGTAAGCTTTTGACTTGTGCGTGTCTTATGATTCAACTACTTTTGTCGGGATTTCAAAACTCCATGACCATGAGTTCGGCTTTTGTGGGAAGCTTTGCACCGAAGGGCTCAAAAGTTTTCCTTGACGCTGTCTGTTTTAACAGTGTTGTGTCAAGTCTCCTTGTTATCTTGTCTTTGTCCAGTGCTCTTGACTCGGCACATAGATTGACATTTTCTAGTTAAAGCTAAGCCTTTTTGCCCCATGCGAGAGAACGATGATGAAAGGTCCGAATGCAAATAGTCCTGCTTTGGGTTGTCAGCTGCTTAGCATGGTCGTGTTCTTTTTCAGGGCTTCAGACCAACATTAGAGAAGAGCAAAACCTCCCTTGTTGACTAGACTTAAAATTTAACATGATTTAGAAGGGGAGAGGTTTCACTCTTGAGTTTGATTGATCTTTGTATCGTCATGCATTCATATTGTATCAAATTTTGTTATTTCTTAGCAGGACAAAGGTCGTCCCCTGCCGAAATTCGGTGAATGGGATGTCAATGATCCAGCTTCAGCTGAGGGTTTCACAGTGATATTTAACAAGGCCAGGGATGAGAAGAAGACCGGTGGCAAACCTGAATCACCCGGTAAAGCCACCGATACTCATCTTAAGCCTGGCACTGATCCTACTAAACCTCCTCCTGTAAGTTTACCTCTCTCGCCATCTCATAACATCACTTGTTGAATGAAGCTCTCTATCTATTCACTTGGATTCTTCCTTTTATTTTTATAAATGGTTCATGCATTTTCAGAAAAAATGGCTTTGTTGCATACAATCTCCATCTGTGGACTCTTGACATTGGCAAGGTCTTGCGCGTTCGAAATGCTTGCACATCTAAAGCATATGGATGTTCTTCTGTTATTTATTTCTCTTCTTCCAACATAAGTTCCTAGATGTTGGGAGACTGTGGCAGATTCACGGATGATTCCTTCTTCGAAGTTGTGTCTTTAAAGTGCTGTAAAATCATGTTTCCACGGGATTGGATTAAAAAAAAAACGGGAAAAAAACAGAACAGTGATTGTGTCTATATATGTATGTAATGATTTTTATGGGGGGTTTTCCACTAGAAGCCGACCTGTTTCTTCCTCGGCTGTCTTTCATTTCACAGTTTATGTATCATTACATGCTGTAGAGCTTCTGGTTATTCTTTAATATATATGTATATATGTGTGTGTATATCCCTCGCTGATACGTATTCAAAAGTTACACACAGCAGGATTTAATATTATTATTATAAAAAAAACAAAGATGATGATTCAACGGAACCAATAAATCGCAACAGACAGATAGAGATATTTTTGTTATTATATAATTTACTGTACATGAGCCCATATTTGTTGAAAAGCAATTCAACAAGAAAAAAATCATTGTCAATATGATCAACCTTGGAGGCATGTGGTCCATTTCACAGGTACCATTATGTATCATCGCTATGTAAAAATGAATTGCGGAAACAGGATATATTATTATTCACCGTCCATGCTGATACAAAATTCCACAGGTGACCAACCAGAAGCTGCCAATTGTCCACCAAAAAACACATCCAACTTTGTCCCTTTCTCTCTTTCTCTCTCTCTCCACGGACTTTTGCTGATACAGAAAAATCTGTTCTTTCAGACTTCACCTCTCCCGAAGCTCGGAACCTTTTTCCGTTCATCATTCTCTTCTCGATTCTATACTTAGGGGCGTTGTTCTTGGTTGAGATCCGGGAAAACTATCTCCCCAGAAAAAGGGTTTCTTCTGTTTCTCTTTCTTTTCTCTCGCTTCCAGATTCTTTCCAAGAATTTCTTGCGCAACTTCGATTTCTCGTTTCTGGGTTTCGTTTTTGGGCTCGAAAGGCGAGAACTTTCCGGGAAAGGAAACGAAGACCGTAAGGAAATCGATGCTGATCGTCGCTGACTCTGAAATATTTCCGTCGGCGTAAAGTGGGAGAAAAGCTTCTTAGGTTGTGGTTCCTTCCCGAGTTTGACGGTATGATTATTTATTGAATTTTTTGCGATCTGTGCCGTGTTTGTTGTAGCGATTCTGGTTGGGGTCGAACTTTCTTGTGCGTCCAGTTTGATCAGATCAGATAAAGGTGAAACCTTTCGTCTTTGATTGTGTGATAATACGTTCTTAGGGTTTCGGTTTGTTTCTATTTCTGTCAACATTACATGACTTGTCCTATTTGTAGAATCCTCAGGAAAGATCGAGGAGAATCCTAAAGTTCGTATGAGTCACTAATTTTCATGCCAGCTTGGATTGGAGTCTGTCTATGGGGCTGTGTCTTGAATTTGAACCAGAATGGAATTTGATGGGATAACTCGTTGTATAGTGCATAGGAAAAATGCTTAAAGGAAGAATTTTTTCACTAAGAGTCTGATCCTGATGAGTTGATTATGATATGTAGAATGCTAAATGACATAATTAGTTAGTGGGTTACCGTAGTTCTTGATGTAGATTCGATTTAGCCATTTTTATCTGAACTTGAGTTTATGAACTCTGGTTTCTGCATAGGGATCTCATCAATCTGAATTTCGAAAAGTTTGCATCTTTCGTGTTTGTGCCAGGTTAATGTTGGAAAAGTCTGAAGCTTTATAAGAAAATGCAATATGGTCGCTAAGGGACGCCGAAATTCCACGGGGTCTTCCAAAGTGGAGGTAGGGGAGATAGATACAAGTGCTCCTTTTCAATCGGTTAAAGATGCGGTCACTCTTTTCGGCGAAAGTGCTCATTCCGGTGAAAATCCCGTCATCAGAAAAGCGAATCCTCAATCTGCAGAGGTATAATTTCTTCTTGTTTTTATCGTGGATAAGCTTTTGTCTTCCTCTAAATGGTGTAAGAGTGTTGAATTAGTTAACGAGGTTAATCCTCGTGGTTTAGGAGAGAAACTGTATTTACATGCAAAGTGTAAAACAATGTTAACTCTTCTGTATTGGTGCAGAGAGTTTTGGCTAAGGAGTCACAGCTTCACTTGGCACAGAAAGAGCTGAACAAGCTAAAGGAGCAGCTTAAGAATGCCGAAACAACAAAAGAAGAGGCCATGGCTGAGCTCGAACAAGCTAAAAGAACAGTCAACGATCTTACTTGCAAGCTAAAAGTGGTAAATGAGTCGAAAGATTCAGCAATTAAGGTGACAGAAGCTGCAAAGTGTCGAGTAAAACAAATCGAGGAAGCAAAATCAGGAAGCATTTCTCCATCCAATGATGCCCAAAAGCAGGACATGGAAAATGTCGTGGAACGGTATGGGACAGTGCTTAGTGAGCTTGATATCGCGAAGCAAGAACTGAGAAAAATCCGTCAGGATTCAAATGAGATTTCGGCAACAAAGACTGCTGCTATAAACACAGTAGGGGAGGCTAAGAAAGTGGTTGAAGCTAACTCTGAGAAGATTAGAGAGCTCAGAGAGGAAATTTCTGCTGCTAACGAATCTGTTGAACAGGTGAAGCTTGCGTGTTTGAAAGCGCAGAAAGAACACGCTCGAATATTTGAGGAGAAGGATGTTCAGAGGCTATCGTATAAGGCTAGAATGGAAGAGTCTGCAAAGAAATTGCTCGATTTGAAGAATGGGTTTGACCCTGAACACGCGAAAAAGCTTGAATTGCAGCTGGCGGAAACTTATACCGAGATCAACTCATTGCAGAAGCAAATGGAGAATGCAAAAGCATCGGATATGGATTCAGTGAGGAGTGTGACTGTGGAATTGGATGATGCAAAGGAGTCGCTTAAGAAACTCGTTGAAGAAGAGAAATCCTTACAGGAATTGATCGAATCTCGCAAAACAGAACTGGAGAATGTGAAGAAGGAACATGATGAGCTAAAGGGGAAAGAAGCTGCAACAGAATCTATGGCTGGAAATCTTCATCTCAAGCTAACGAAAAGTAAAAGCGAGCTTGAAGCATGCCTTGCAGAGGAATCTAAAACGAAGGTTGCTTTTGAAGACATGATGTCAACCCTCAATCAATTATTTTCCGAGACAGAAACCGCCCGACAAGAATCTGAAGAAATGAGAATCAAGGCCGAGGAGCTGAGGAAAGAAGCTGAAGCTGCACATGTTGCACTCGAATATGCAGAGCTAGACCTTAGGGTTGCTCTAGACGAAGTTGAAGAAGCGAAAGCCTCCGAAACAAGAGCCCTTGAACAGATAAAGTCCATGTCTGAAAAAACCGATGCTGCACGTACTTCGACGTCCGAATCTGGTGGCCAGATCACAATGTCTCGGGAAGAATTCGAGTCATTGAGCAGAAAAGTCGAGGAATCTGACAAGTTAGCCGAGATGAGAGTGGGAGCTGCATTGGCCCAAGTGGAGGCAGTGAGAGCGAGTGAGAACGAGGCCTTGAAGAAGTTAGAGATGGCCCAAAAGGATATTGAGGGTTTAAAAGCTGCAACCCAAGAGGCTCTGAAGAAGGCAGAGATGGCGGAGGCAGCCAAGAAGGCAGTGGAAGGAGAACTCAGAAGATGGCGTGAAAGAGAGCAGAAGAAAGCAGCCGAAGCTGCATCCAGGATTCTTGCAGAAACCGAGAAGGTATCTACCTCACCATCGCCTCACCATCACAGAATCACGGCACAGAGACCTGCAGAGAGAACGGTTGAGATCCGGAAACTGGAAAAGGCCAAAACTTCAGTCGTCTCAAAGAAAGTTCTTGTACCGAATCTGAGTGGAATCTTTCAGAGGAAGAAGAATCAAATCGAGGGAGGATCTCCTTCTTATCTTCCTGGTGAGAAACCCATCTGATTTTGATTCTGGTTTGAGCTCTGTTCTGCGGTTACAAACTTGTTTAAGAACAGCAGAATTGTATGTGTCTGTGTGTGTTTGTCAAAGATGGGTGTGTGGCTTGAAATCAGAGCAGCAGCAGCTTTGGATAAGGAGAAACATGATTTTCTGTAAATTTGAGTCAGAGATATTTAGGTTGTTTTCATTTGATTGCTTTGTGGTGAAAGTTATTTTCTTTCTTACATAAGCTTCAACTTTGTGTGTCGACAAAAACAGAACAATGAAAAAAGAGCAAACTTTGTGTTGCTAATGTGATATTTTTTTCACTCGAGAGGACACAGGACAGGACACTCCAAGATAACCGGAGATATTGCAACCAGATCCACCCGGTTTAGATCGGTTTAAGTACTGACCCGGAGATGATTGTATTTGTATCCAAATTATACCGGTTTTGGTCGGTTTAGTTACCGACTGAATTCGAGTAAGCATTAACTTGGGACTTCTCCCATGGCACTGGAACTTGAGAGATCTTCCTCTTCCTCCAAAACTTGAACTTTCCTTCGGATTCAATGGAAAGTGGTAGAGATAGAGAAGACCCTTTGTCATTTACAAGCAACCCATCGGCGTCGTCTCCGACAACCTCGACAGCTATGTCGGCGAACTCACCTCTCATTCTGGGAGCTTCCAGAGCGAGAGCTTGCTCGGTGGTGGTGGAGAGAGCATCAACGATTCTGATTTCGGACTCCCCCGTCCAGATTTCCGACTAAGCCAAATCACCGGGTCCGTACAGTTCTACGACAGGCATGTCTTCTTGTGCTACAAGAAGCCCTCCGTCTGGCCCGCAAGAATCGAAGCGGCGGAGTTTGATCGGTTACCGTGGAAACTCTCCGCCACCATGTCGGCGAAGAAGGGCAAAATGAAGAAAGATGTAATAATCTTCTTCACTTGGCGAGATTTATATCTCATATACCAGATGAAAGCAATTCTGTTTTTCCAAAGTTATTGGACTAATCTTCTTGCTGAAATATCATCGATATTGATATCATTCATGAACTCTGTCTTGTCATCATTCATGAACTTTTTCTTGTTGTCTAGCTTCCTGTCTGATAGCTTTTTGCCACTGGTTCACAGACCCAACTCACGGTACACAGGTAAGTAGTGAAATTCTAACCGGAGATCTATACTTGCCTTTGTCTTTAGTGGTGGAACTTGATCTTTTGCCTGTTTCAACGAATGCAGAAGGCTGTCTCATTTTGAAGCGGTGCTTGTGAAGGATAGCGAATGGTTTCCGGGAAATCCAGAATTCCTTGAAGGCTCATATGTGGGCCATCACTGGTTAGTAGATTCAGAGAAGAAATAGAATTACATGTTCTTCGAGATAAAGTATCGGTCAGCCCATGTTCTCACATTAGTGCACACAAATTCGGTGGAAACGTTACCATCTATTAAAGAACCGATGGGGAAGCCGCAGGGCACTGGTAAGAGTTCAAGTTTCCATTTATTTGTAAATGGAAGTTGAGTGCAACCATTCATATTTATGACAGGTTGGCGGCTTGAAAGTTAAATAAAAGCTACACCGGAAGTTCTGTTCTGTGCAATGTCTGATTGATATCACCCTGTTTTTGAACTGAGGACTGAGTCATTCTTGTTTCTAGGTATGTGAGTGTGACTCCAGATGATGTGCCTGTTTTGTTGGAGCAGCACATCTGCAAGGGCGAAATTGTAGACTTGGCTATGGAGGTAAGATCATGATTTCCTCAATCTCCATATTCCTCTGTATACATTAGAACTGTGTTATAACATTCAGGGGTGAAATGGGTCTATCGGGGAAGAGCCGAAGAAAACTCAAGAACAAAGGATCCAGTCAAGCGGTT